GAGAGGATCTCGTCTGCTGATGTAGGTGGCTGGAGGGCTTTGAGAGTCGGGAGCCTATCAGCAGTTATAGCCCGGTGTTTGGGGGTAAGATTGAGGCCTAAGTAGGTAACTGAGGAGGTAGCTATTTGAGCTTTAGCAGCGGATATCCGGTACCCCTTGCTTCCCAGGAAGTTTAACAGTGTGGTGGTGGCCGTAATGCAGTCGTGGTAGGATGGAGAACAAATGAGGACGTCATCAACATACTGCAGTAGGGTGGAAGGGGTGATTTTGCAAGTTTGAAGGTCGGATGCTAGGGCTCGTCCAAATAAGTGGGGGCTATCCCGGAAGCCTTGGGGTGGGACTGTCCAGGTGAGCTGCTGAGAAAGATTGGAAGTGGGGTCTTCCCAGGTAAAAGCAAAAAGGAAATAGGAATCTGGGTTCAGGGGAATGGTGAAGAAGACATCTTTGAGGTCTAGAACTGAGAAGTGGGTGGTTGTAGTGGGGGATGTGGGAAAAGATTGTGTAGGGGTTGGGGACTACTGGATGGACCAGAATGACTGCTGCATTGATAAGGCGGAGGTCTTGGACCAGGTGGTAATGACCTGAGGGCTTTTTCACAGGCAGAATGGGAGTGTTGCAGGGGGAGTTTGCAGGAATGAGTAGCCCTTGAGCTTTCAGTTTATTTATGATAGGGAGGAGGCCGAGGCGGTGAACTTTGGAGATAGGAAACTGAGGGCGAGAAGGGAAGGCTGTGGGGTCTTTTAGGCGTATGAGTATGGGTTGGTGGTGTGAGGCTACAGTGGGGGTATCAGTATCCCATACCTCAGGATTTACATCAGGGAGGAGTTCGGCCGGGGGAAGGGGGAAAGGTGAGTTGGCGATGAGGGGTAAGAGGAAGGTTTCTGTGTGTGGAAAAGTAATGGAAGCTTGCAGTTTTACTAGGATATCTCACCCTAGGAGAGGTACAGGGCAAGAGGGAATGACTAGAAAGGAGTGGGTAAAAATGGACGGGCCAAACAGACAGGTTAAGGGTGGAGTTTGGTGAGGAGTGGAGGGGGACCCATCAATCCCCATGACAGAGACTTGGGAGGGAGTGGTTTTGCCTGAATATGAGGGAAGTACGGAGTAGGTAGCCCCCGTGTCTAATAAGAAGGAGACAGTCTTACCCGCTACCTGGAGCTTAACCCTGGGCTCGGCAAGGGTAACTGGAGTTGGGAAGCCAGGGCACCACTAATCGTCCATAAACCCTAGTAGCTCTGGAAATGGGTTTTCTTGAGCACCTGACTCCTGACTGTCATGGGCAGGGGTCTGGTTTTCGGAAACGTGGCCTTGCTGCTCCCCAGTGCGTCGGTTTGGAGGAACTGAGGCCCTGGGGAAGCTCGGACAATCAGATTTCCAGTGTCCCATGAGCTGACAAATAGGGCAGGGCTTGGTAGGAGGCCGTGGCTGGGGGCAGGCTTTTGACCAGTGCCTTTCTTTTCCACATTTGAAACACTCTCCAGGAGGGGTACGGGTATTTGCTTTACTCCTGTTACTTTCTGCCGGCCGAAGGGCGGCTACAAGGGCTTGGGTCTGTAGAGTGACCTTTTGTTTCATACGTGCTTGGCGGGCTGCCTCAGCTGCGTCTTCCCTGGCATTAAAGACTTTAAAGGCCATTTTTACCAAGTCCTGTATAGGGGTTTCAGGGCCGTCCTCTGCTTTTTTTAGTTTTTTCTGAATGGGAGATGATTGGGAGATGAAGTGTGATGCTAGAGCGGTGGCTCCGTTCTGTGAGGCTGGGTCAAGGCGGGTGTAGCGGACTAGCGCTTCCTGCAAGCGAGTTAGAAAGAGGGAAGGGTTCTCATTTGGTAATTGGGTGATTTCTCTTAGTTTGTCATAGTTTACTACTTTGTTGGACACTACATCCATGCCTTTGAGGAGGTATCGGACCATGCGGTCTCTGTGGGGTTGTCGGACCCTCGGCCTGCCTGATAATCCCATTGGGGGTCCTCGTTAGGAATAGCTTCAGCTCCGAGGGGGACCTGGTTATCTATAGTATGGTCTTTGTCTGCCTGATGCCGAGCAGCAGCAAGAATGCGCCCGTGTTCTTCAGCCGTGATGGTGGAGGTGCAAACTACCCGAATGTCATGCCATGTGAGGCTGTATGCCTGGGTGAGATATTGAAATTCTTTAATATAGGTGGACGGGTCGGCTGAGAAGGATCCTAAACGTTTCTCGATTTGGGACAGGTCTTGGAGTGAAAAGGGGACATGGACTTTTACCAAGCCTTTGGTCCCTGCAACTTCCCTGAGAGGTGCTTTTACTGATGAGTTATGAGATCAGGTGTGGGCAGATACAGGGGAAGTCATGGGGGGAGGTGTTTCTGGGGCAGAGGGCTTGGGGGCATCTGGGGAGGAAGGTGGAGGGGGACTGCCAGGATTAGCGGGTGGAGAAAGGTGTTCGGGGAGTTCGTCCGGAGGGGAATAAGGCAGTGGGCCAGCGGTTGCGGTGGAAACTTTTTGGGGGGTTCGGGCTAAAAGGATTTGGTGGGTGGAGCAGGAGGAGCAGAGATCGGGGCGGGAGCAGAGGTCCCAAAAAGCCTGGACATAAGGACCTCAGAGTTTTTCCCGGTGCGGCGGCAAAAATTATTGAGGTCCCATAAGGTATTGAAATCGAAGGTGCCAGTTGGCGGCCAGTGGGACTGATTGTCTAGGTTATACAGAGGCCATGTGGTTTGAGAAAGAAAGACGAGTTTTTTCTTTCTTAAGATCTGAGAGTAGTCCAATCGAGAAAAATTTTGGAGTAGACACCCTAAGGGGGGTTAGGGTCGACTTTAGACTGAGAATTCCCTATGGCATCCGAGGCTTGCCAGCGTCAGGAAGGAGAGAGATGAGGAGGAGGCGTCCCTTCTCGTCGTCTCTTCCCGGGAATTTGACCGGTAGGGGTGAGCAGTCAGAGAGGCGTCCCCGTCTGGCTACTGACCTGGAAGACTCCAGGAGTCGGGAGGAGGACCACCTCGGCTTGGCCGAGTCTGGGGCGAGGGGTCCATGCTGGTTGGCACTGGGAAGCCTCGGATTTAGCCCTAAACGGGGGAGGGAAAGGCCAGGTAGGTAAAATTCTTACCTTTCCTGTAGTCCCGAGAAGCCGACCCCAACGAAGATGGCGAGTGGACCGGTGAGGATAGAGAGGGGGGACTCTCGCCCGGCCCCTGGGGCCTGAGGCGGGTCAACTACCCCTCTCCCGGGTTTTGGCACCACTTGTCTGGCTGTAGTTTTGGGGTCTGCCGCGCTGGATGGTGGAAAGAAATAAAGCCAAATGAACGTCCAAGCTTTATTGGGAGCTCTGGGTGGACTAAGCACCACCGTACAGACCGAAGTGGGTAGCTGCGCCTAGGAGGCGGGCTGAGTGGCTTATATAGCAGAAGCCAGTAATTTTCCACTACAGTGGGGTAAGAGGAAGGGGGAAAGGGGTGAGGTCAGTACTTTTCCACTGCCGTTGAGCGAGAGAGGGGATGTGCTCGTTCTCAGGCAGAGTTTCTTGCGGCTTATCAGTTATCTCTTAACAAAGGAGGGTTTGGAGGCCTGCTGTAAAAAAGGGAAGGAGGGGGTTGGGGTCTTACAATCTATCTTATCTGAGAACCTGGCGAAACATTAATGGTGGTACTCTTCCACTGTCATTGGGGTGTTTCCAGTAGGCTGTGGTAGGGGCAAGGGAAGGCCGGCCCTAACAGGAGGGAATTCCAAATGTCGGGGTCTCCCTCCTCATGAGGACTCAGAAAATCATCTTACAGGTCAAGAACTCATGGCTGGGTGCGGTTGCTCACACCTGTTATCTCAGCACTTTGAGAGGCCGAGGAAGGAGGATCACTCGAGCTCAGGGGGTCAAGACCAGCCTGAATAACATGGCAAAACTGTCTCTACAAAAAAAAAAAAATAGAAAAAATCAGCTGGGTGTGGTGGCAAGTGCCTGTGGTTCCAGCTACTTGGGAGACTGAGGCAGGAGGATCACCTGAGCCTAGGAGTTAGAGGTTGCAGTGAGCCGAGATGGCACCACTGTACTCCAGCCTGGGCGAGTGAAGGAGACAGTATCTCAGGAAGAAAAAAAGAAACGTTGTGCACGGCGGCTCACGCCTGTAATCCCAGCACTTTGGGAGACCAAGGCGGGTGGATCACGAAGTTAGGTGTTCGACACCAGCATGGTGAAACCCTGTCTCTACTAAAAATACAAAAATTAGCCGGGTGTGGTGGCAGGGGCCTGTAATTCTAGCTACTCAGGAGGCTGAGGCAGGGAATTGCTTGAACCCAGGAGGTGGAGGTTGCAGTGAGCTGAGGTTGTGCCACTGCACTCCAGCCTGAGTGACAGAGCAAGAATCCATCTCAAAAAAACAAAAGAAATCTAGGTTCAAATTCTTTCTTCCTTTGTCCCTTTGCTGTTGACCTGGTCACCCAACAAACCACCCTTGTCTCCATCAGAAAACTGCCCTCTGTGACTTTACCCAGCTCACTCCTCCTGCCTCTCTGCAGGTCCCTCTATGAGGCCATGAACCCCAGCCTGGGCTGTTTCCAGCCCCCTGCCACTGTGGCCAAGAAAACAGGAAGCATCTGAGTCACCCGTTGTCCCCTGGGCTTTGCCTGCCTGGGCTCAAGTTCTGGAGTCAGGGCAGGACAAAGAAGAGGTTAGCTCCACAGAAGCCAGGACTGTCTTGTGGGGCTCTGTCTTCCAGGCTGTGGGACCCCAGACAGCCAGTGGTCCAGGAACCTCTCCCCGGTTCTTCGCACTGCCCTAAGATTGGGAATTCTCAAGTAGACTCTGCTCCCCACTGGCTGTGGGCCTGGTCTTGTCTGGTGGGTCTTGATTTTAGTTGTAAATTAGTATCACCTGGGGTGCTTTAAGAATGAGTAACACCTGGGCTCCACCCACAGAGCTTCAGATTTAATTTGTAAGGTTCCCCAGGTGATTTCAAAGTGCAGCCGAGCTTGAGAACTACTGGGCGGGTCATTCATCATCTTAATAGTTGCTGGAAACAATGGACATCCTGGTCTGTTCAGGCACATCGGAACTGTCAATGGTAATGTAATAAATAATATGTCCACCCATTCGTCGGCTTCTCCTGATAGTGGGTACCCTCAGGCTTTCCTCCGCCCCTAGAGCCCAGGTCAAGATGCCAGTGGTGGACATTGACAATCGTGTTGACGGGCATACGCAAGCCAGTGTACTGCCACCCTGAGACTGTCCTCCAAAGTGCCCCGCACTGAGCGGGAAATTCAAGGTGAGAATAGCAGGTTACCCAGGCTCAGCCCCCTTGGGGCGGAGCTGCCCCAGACCACAGGAACTCACCTCTTGCATGACCTGGAGGTGAGACCCGGAATCAAAGGAGATCATTTTGGAGCTTTAAAATTTGACTGTCCTGCTGAATTTTGGACTTAACCTGGGCCCTGTAACCCTTTTATTTTGGCCAATTTCACCCATTTGAAATGGCTGTGTGTACCCAATGCCTTTACCCTCGTTGTATCTAGGGAGTAACTAGCTTGTTTTTGATTTTACAGGCTCATAGGCAGAAGGGACTTGTCTCAGATGAAACTTTGGACTTTGGACTTTTGGGTGAACCCTGAAATGAGTTAAGATTTTGGGGGACTGTTGGGAAGGCATGAGATTTGGAAGGGCTGGGTGGTATGATATGGTTTGGCTGGGTCCCCATCCAAATCTCAACTTGAATTGTAACTCCTGGAATTCCCACGTGTTCTGGGAGGAACCCAGGAGGAGATAATTGAATCACGGGGCGGGGGGCGGAGGAGGGCCCAGTCTTTCCCGTGCTAATCTCATGATTGTGACCAAGTCTCACGAGAACTGATGGGGTGATCAGGGGTCTCCGCTTCTACTTCTTCCTCCTCCTGTTTTGGGGCTGCCTTATAAGAGGTGCTTTTCGCCCTCTGCCGTGATTCTGAGACCTCCCCAGCCAGGTGGAACTGTAAGTCCAATGAAACCTCCCTTTTTCCCCAGGCTCGGGTATGTCTTTATCAGCAGCGTTGTGAACAGTGAGTTGTGAACAGAGGAGAGGGTCAGCTCTCCTCAAGCGCCTTTCCCTTGGGTAAGCATGACAGCACGTACTGTATGATTCTATTTATGAAAAATGAGTATATTTGTTTTATAGTGCAATATGAAAATTCTCATGGGTCTGTTTTTTTAATCTATTGTTTCAACTGGCCCTTGGTTATATGGTCTTGTCACCTTGTGTGCCTAGTTTTTGTTTTTTTCTTTTGAGAAAGGGTCTCACTCTCTATTGCCTACGCTGGAGAGCAGTGGCACAAATGTGGCTCACTGCAGCCTCAACCTCCAGGGCTCAAGCAATCCTTCCACCTCAGCTTTCTGAGTAGCTGAGACTACAGGTGCATGGGAACAGGCCTGGTTAGTTTTTGCATTTTTTTGTAAAGATGGGGTTTCACCATGTTGCCAGGCTGGTCTTGAATCTCCGGGCTCAAGTGCTCTGCCTGCCTTACCCTCCCTAGGTGCTGGGATTACAGGCGTGAGCTGCCACAGCCAGCCTCTTTATACTGATTGTAGAATGGACATTTGTTTCAGATATTACCTTAGAAATTACTTTAGGCCTAAAGTCATGTTCCTTAATTTAGGACACAAGAAAGAAAAAGAAGGAAGGAAAGAGAGAGAGAGAGAAAGAAAGGAGGGAGGGAGGGCAGGGCAGGGCAACTGCAGTGGCTCACACCTGTGATCCCAGCTCTTTGGGAGGCTGAGGCTGGCAGATCAACTGAGGTTGGGAGCTTGAGACCAGACTGACCAACATGGAGAAACCCCATCTCTACTAAAAATACAAAAAATTTACCAGATGTGATGATGGGCGCCTGTAATTCTAGCTACTTGGGAGTCTGAGGCAGGAGAATTGCTTGCACCTGGGAGGCGGAGGTTGCAGTGAGCCAAGATCGTGCCATTGCACTCCAGCCTGGGCAACAAGACTGAAACTCTGTTTTAAAAAAAAAGAAGAAAAATAAAGAAATGAGGTTCTGATTAAAAAAAGAAATAAGGCTGGGCACGGTGGCTCACGCCTGTAATCCCAGCACTTTGGGAGGCCAAAGCAGATGGATCACGAGGTCAAGAGATCGAGACCATCCTGGTCAACATGGTGAAACCCCGTCTCTACTAAAAATACAAAAAAATTTAGCTGGGCATGGTGGTGCGTGCCTGTAATCCCAGCTACTCAGGAGGCTGAGGCAGGAGAATTGCCTGAACCCAGGAGGCGGAGGTTGCGGTGAGCTGAGATCGCGCCATTGCACTCCAGCCTGGGTAACAAGAGCGAAACTCCATCTCAAAAAAATAAAATAAAGACACAGAAAACCCAGAGAACCTAGCCTGGCCTGAGGGTGCATGAATCCAGAAAGGCTTCCTGGAGGAGGTGAAGCCACTGAAGACCCAAAGGAAGAGTAACAAAGAGATTAACCAACAACAAAGCAGTAAGGCCCAGTTGAGAGAGTTGTGGTGAGGGCCAAAGGCAGGGAGGCTGGAAATTGAGCGATAGGAAGGAGTCCATTCTGATAGGGAGGATCTTGCCAGGAAGGGAGCCATAGCCTGTGGGAGCAGGAAGTGCTGAGACTACAGGGCAGGCTGTTCTAGGAGGTGGTGCTGGTTGAATGAATGAGTGAAGAAAGGAATGAATGAGGGATCCAACAAGAGAAGGCCAAGGTGGAAAAACCAACTCTGTCTTCTACAGTGGTTGTTTTTGTTTTTGTTTTGGCAGTTGGGACAAGTAGAGACACATGGCAACACACGCTCCTCCTGCACCACCCCCAGCTTGGGGCTCAAAGGACCAGGATGTGCTGAAGGTGGCATGTCAGGCCCAGAAGGGGCCAGGAGGACTGGGTCTCCTCCCCTCCTCACCTCCTCAGCTGCCCCTCTGTTCCGGGGTAGGAGGCTGATTGATGGCTCCCTTGCCCCGCCTCCCGGCCCAGTGCCAAGCTTCCCAGCTGCTGACTCAGGCTGTGCCGGCCAGCTCAGCATTCCTGCCTGGCCCCCACTGAATGGGGCTATTGAAAGTCTCTGTAGCCTCAAACCACGCCCCCAACCAGAGCCTTCGGCTGCGCTGTGGCTCTGCTCTCAGGGGACAGCGTAGGCCTGGGGTCAGTGGGAAAGGGCTCTGGCTGCCAGTGACTGACGGTCTGGAGTTGTCTGGGACCAAGGACGATCCTGGGTAAGCTGGCTGGGCTGGCACCAAAGAGGGGATCCCAATGGAAGGGGTCTCCCTGGCTCGCAGGACAGAGGCCCTGGGATGGGTGACCCTGGCTTGGGGGAGGGGTCTATGTGTCTCTGGGAGAGCCAAAGGGCCCTGTGGGTTTTCCCACCTGCCCCCTCAGACTGGAGCTTCCCTGAAGTAGAGGTTTTCCCCTTAGATAGAGGCCACTCAGGTATGGGCTGGGTCTCCCCCACCAGACAGGAGCCAAGGTAGGGAGAAGGGGTGGTTTGGAGTTTGGAGTCAAACTCAGCTCCCCAGGCATGGAAGCAGCGTCAGCGTCCAGCCTCGGCCTCTGCTGCTGGGTCCAGATCAAGCGCCCTCCTTTCCCACCTTCTCCATCTTGGCCTCTGCCCAAGCCAGGACCCGGCCACCAGCCTGGCTGCGGGGGCCCTTTTTCAGGTATGGGGGAGGGCCAGGTGCCATGAAGCCAGTGCGGGTCGCCACCCTTCTGTGGATGCTACTGCTGGTGCTCAGGCTGGGGGCCGCCCGGATGGGGTCCCCAGAAGAGGACTCCTTCTACTATGGAACCTTCCCTTTTGGTACGGCCACACTTCTGTTCGTCTGTCTGCCTGTCTGTCTGTCGTCCATCTGCCCACCTTGGCTGACTCGCCGAGCAGTTTGGTGTTCTTGCTTCCTGACAGGACAGAAAACCCACCTCTGAGTGGTTTCCCTCTGTGTGGTGGTTCTAACAGTTCCTGATAGCTTTTTTAAGTTACTAAAAACTACACAGATAATACATGCTAATCAGGGCTCAAAGTGTGCAAAAATGTTTTTAATGTCTCTTCTCCTACCTTACCCTACCTTGTGTGCTCCACTCCTAGGAAGACCAGGCCCCAGTGGGGCAGGGGCAGCGTGGTAGGGAGGGGCAGTCCCTGAGGCCTGAGAGAGACATGGGAGCACCTGGGGCCCAGCACGGGTCTCTCCCTTCAGGCTTCTCCTGGGGTGTGGGCAGTTCTGCCTACCAGACAGAGGGCGCTTGGGACCAGGACGGGAAAGGGCCCAGCATCTGGGACGCCTTCACGCACAGTGGGAAGGGGAAGGTGCTCGGGAATGAGACAGCAGATGTAGCCTGTGATGGCTACCACAAGGTCCAGGTGAGTGCGGGGTGTGTGTGTGTGTGTGTGCGTGCGCGCGCACATACATGCCTAGCTGGGAGGCAAGGGGTGATGTATTGGGAAACCCTGGTGACAGTGTCATCCCCATGCTCTGCCAAACACCCTCTACCCCCGTGCAGCCAGAGGGGGCAGGGCCAGTGGGGGTGAAGGTTTTGGAGGGGCCAGGATGTGGGGGTACATGGAGGAGGAAAGGAAAGCAGGGCATCACCTGAGCCAGTGCCTCAGGCCAAGTGAGGGAGAGCGGAAAGTCTGATGCCACAGCTTCAGGGCCTACAGCCACAGTGGCCTGCACCCTGGTCCCGCCTGTGAGTTGTGCCTGTGGAGGGAGTGGGACCCGCTCATCCTCAGCACCCGCTTTCCTCTCTGGATGGCTTCTTGAGGAAGTCATCACCGGGTTTATAAGGGCAGCCTGAAGGACTTCTCCAAGTGCCTCCCTGTCCTGTGTTTTCTTTGGCGTATCCCCTGGATGACGTGGGGCAGGTGGCATCACCTCTGTTGTACAGATGAGGAAGCAGTTTCTTCCTCACCCACGAACAGATAGAGACAAGAGTGAGCCTCGGCCCTGGAGCCCGATGACCCCTACCTCCCACAGCCAGGGCCCCAGGTGACCTGCCTCCCCACCCCTGTCCGCACAGGAGGACATCACTCTGCTGAGGGAACTGCACATCAACCACTACCGATTCTCCCTGTCTTGGCCCCGGCTCCTGCCCACAGGCGTCCGAGGTGAGCCAGGGCAGCCCCTCCCGAGCCCAACTGCAGCCCCCTCCGGCCATATTGGCTTTGCAGGGGCACCACAGAGTCCTGGGGAGGGAGACCAGCCCATGAACATGGTTACTGATGATAGCAGCTCTCACAGGTTCTTCAGGTAACTGGGCTCCCAGATTGCTGGCGGCCTGAGGGTGCCTCAGGCCTTCAAAAAGCAACAGGGGGACTGGGTGCAGTGGCTCACGCCTGTAATCCCAGCACTTTGAGAGGCTGAGGCAGGCACATCACGAGGTCAAGAGATCAAGACCATCCTGGTCAACATAGTAAAACCCTGTCTCTTCTAAAATACAAAAATTAGCTGGGCGTGGTGGCACATGTCTGTAATCCTAGCTACTCAGGAGGCTGAGGCAGGAGAATTTCTTGAACCCAGGAGGCAGAGGTTGCGGTGAGCCAAGATCGCACCACTGCACTCCAGTCTGGCGCCTGGCGACGAAGCAAAACTCTCTCAAAGAAAAAAAAAAAAAGCAACAGGGCCCAGAAATGCTGCACTCCAGAAGGCCAAGGCCAAGGGCCTTTCTCATAGCGTCTTATTTTATTCCACCTATAGCCGAGAAGGTGAACAAGAAGGGAATGAAATTCTACAGCGATCTTATCGATGCCCTTCTGAGCAGCAACATCACCCCCATCGTGACCTTGCACCACTGGGATCTGCCTCAGGTGAGGACCTGTGCAGGTTCACAGGCCCAAGGAGAGAGCCAGGTTTGAGGACGTGGGTTGCCAAGGTGGGCAGAGACTAGGTTTTGGATTCTGGCTCAGGACCATAAGATGTGAGTGAGTGAAAAAGAAATCTTGGCAGGGCACGGTGGCTCACATCTGTAATCCCAGCACTTTGGTAGGCCGAGGAGGGTGGATCACGAAATCAGGAGTTCAAGACCAGCCTGACCAACATGGCTGAACCCCATCTTTACTAAAAATACAAAAATTAGCTGGGTGTGGTGGCATACACCTGTAATCCCAGCTACTCAGGAGGCTGAGGTAGAAGAATCGCTTGAACCTGGGAGGCAGAGGTTTCAGTGAGCTGAGATCACACCATTGCACTCTAGTTTGGGTGACAGAGTGAAACTCGGTCTCAAAAAAAAAAAAAAAGAAAAATCTCTCTGACTCACTATCTTAGTCCACTTTTGCTGTTATACCAGAATACCTGAGACTGGTAGTTTGTAAAGAATGAGAATGTATCTTCTCACAGTTCTAGAGGCTGGGAAGTCCAAGGCGCTGGCAGGTGCAGATTTTGGTGAGGGCCCAGTATCTGCTTCTAAGATGATGCCTTGAAGGCTGCGTCCCTCTTTTTATAAGAGCACCTAATCCCATTCATGATAAAAGACCCCTCATGACTCAATCACCTGCCAAACGCTACACCTCCCAATACTACTGCTTGATAAAGTTTCAACATGAATTCGAGGGGACAGAAACATTAAACCAAAGCACTCACATACGGCAGGGAGGTCACACTGCTTTAATTGATGTTTGTAGTAACTGAAAAGAGTGAATCCTTCAGTTTTCTAGAGAACTTGACATAAAAACAAATTTTAAAAACGATAAAGATATGTCTTTTAGGCCAGGTGCAGTGGCTCACACCTGTAATCCCTGTAATCCCAGCACTTTGGGAGGCCGAGGCAGGCAGATCCCCTGAGGTCAGGAGTTCGAGACCAGCCTGATTAACATGGAGAAACCCTGTCTCTACTAAAAATACAAAATTAGTTGGGCGTGGTGGTGCGTGCCTATAATCCCAGCTACTCTGGAGGCTGAAGCAGAAGAATCACTTGAACCCAGGAGATAGAGGTTGCAGTGAGCCAAGATCGCGCCATTGCACTCCATCCTGGGCAACAAGAGCAAAACTCCATCTCAAAAAAAAAATGTATATATATATATGTCTTTAAGATCTGGCAGCCAGGTGCAGTGGCTCACACCTGTAATCCCAACACTGAGGGGCTGAGATCATTGGATCACTTGAGATCAGGAGTTCCAGACCAACCTGGCCAACATGGTGAAATCCCTTCTCTACTAAAAATACAAAAATTAGCTTGGCATGGTGGTGGGTGCTTATAATCCCAGCTACTAGAGAGGCTGAGGCAGGAGAATCGCTTGAACCTGGGAGAGGGAGGTTGCGGTGAGCCGAGATGGTACCATTGCACTCCAGCCTGGGCAATGAGAGTGAAACTCTGTCTCAAAAAAAAAAAAAAAAAAAAACTGGCGACATAGCATGATGAACAAGTTTAGCCATTTTTCTCTGATATGTTTGAGTCAGTACCACAGGCACTCATATGACCCCTGCCCCAGCAATGTCCATGAAATCACAACATGCTTTCGAATGTCACTATGTTACTATTCAAGCAATATTTTTTTTTTTTTTGAGACTGAGGCTCACTGTTGCCCAGGCTGGAGTGCAGTGGCATTATCTCAGCTCACTGCAACCTCTACCTCATGGGTTCAAGCAATTCTCTGCCTCAGCCTCCTGAGTAGCTGGAGGCTAATTTTTTATATTTTTAGTAGAGACAGGAGTTCACTATCTTGGCCAGGCTGGTCTTGAACTCCTGACCTCATGATTCATCTGCCTTCGCCTCTCAAAGAGCTGGGATTACCATTCCTGGCCTCAAGTAATGTTTTCTTTCTTTTTTTGAGACAGAGTCTTGTTTTATCGTCCAGGCTGGAGTGCAGTGGTGTGATCTCAGCTCACTGCAACCTCTGCCTCCTGAGATCAAGTGATTCTCCTGTCTCAGCCTCCCCAATAGCTGGGAATACAGGCATGAGCCACCACACCTGGCTAAATTATGTATTTTTAGTAGAGAGAGAGTTTCACCAAGTTGGCCAGGCTAGTCTCGAACTCCTGACCTCTCAAGTGATCTGCGTGCCTTGGCCTCCCAAAGTGCTGGGATTACAGGCATGAGCCACTGTGCCCAGCCTCAAGTAATATTCCATTCATTCAATAGGCCTTACTACGTCTTGAGGGCCTAGGGTTATAGATGGAGCAGGCAGTGCTGGGCACAAGGCCATGGGAGGGCAGAGTGGAGACAAGGCTTCTGGGGGGGTACTCGGGAGAAGGTAGTCCCATCGGTGCCCTAGAAAGTTTGGGCAGGAGGTGGGAGGAAAGGGTGCTCTGATTGGAGGGTGCATGGCAAAGAGGGGGAAGCTGGGCAGGCAGTTTGGTTCAGTTAGAATTTGGGGAGCAGGCAGGTGAAGGAAAGGTTAGAGGCTGGAGGCGTGGCTCGGGGAAGACCTCAAAGGCCTCAATGCTGAGCCGAGATGACTGAGCACTGGGTTTATTCGGTGGGAATGGGAGCTACCCGAGTCGTCTCACTGGAGAGGGCAGAGCAGGCTTTAGGGAGATGAACCTTCCAGCTTCTTCCCTGGCTGCTTTCACCAACCTGCCCCATTAACATCCTCTCAAACCCACCAAGGAGAGCTGAATAGGTAGTCTTGATACAGTGACAAGTCTTGGGAGAATTCTGCCATCATGAGCAGATGCCTTTGTTGGGAAAGCCCTCTGCTGAAGAAGGCAGATGTGCTCCAAGGCTTCTCGGAGCTTTCTGACGTCGGCATGGCCCTCAGAATCCTCATCAGTGTTCCTCCCAGCATCAGATCTCATTTCTCCAGAACTGAGACTCAAGATGCTTCTGCATGATTACGCCCCTTTCCCCTAGCACTGTTTTCTTTCTTTTTTTTTTTTTTTTGAGATAGAGTCTTCCTCTGTCACGCAGGCTGGAGTACAGTGGTGTGCTGTCGGCTCACTGCAACCTCCACCTCCCAGGTTCAAGTGATTCTTCTCCTTCAGCCTCCCAAATAGCTGGGACTATAAGCACACGCCATCACACCTGGCTAATTTTTTGTATCTTTAGTAGAATTGGGTTTCATCGTATTGGCCAGGCTGGTCTTGAACTCCTGACCTCGTGATCCACCCGCCTCTGCCTCCCAAAGTGCTGGGATTACAGACTTGAGCCACTGCGCCTGACCACATTTTCTTAAATATTCAATCCATTCAGTTCTTTCTAAGCGTGAGAGTCCCAGTCTCCCTGTGCAGCCTCTCCCTGGTTCGTCCAAGGACTGTCACATAGCTTATCTCCACATTTAAAATGCTTTGAAGTTCATTCCTGGGGAACCTGCTTCTCTGTGTTCACAGCTGCTCCAGGTCAAATACGGTGGGTGGCAGAATGTGAGCATGGCCAGCTACTTCAGAGACTATGCCAACCTGTGCTTTGAGGCCTTTGGGGACCGCGTGAAGCACTGGATCACATTCAGTGATCCTCGGGTAAGCGAGGCCCCTCCAGGTGGGAGAACGGGGCACTCCCTGCCACTTCTTACAGATGCTGTGGTCCTGCTTGCTGTCCCTATAGGCAATGGCAGAAAAAGGCTACGAGACAGGCCACCATGCACCGGGCCTGAAGCTTCCTGGCACCGGCCTGTACAAGGCAGCACACCACATCATTAAGGTGAGGTGGGTCCTTCTGGTGGGGGAACAGCCTCAAGGACAGCTCAGCCTACCCCGGGGGCTGTAGCTTGGTCTGCTTTGGAGTCAGCATACTCCACAGCACCTTCCTTTCTGTGACGATTTATGGAGGGAATGCCCTGTCATCCAGGGCGCTGCTGGACACTATGGCTGAGCTGTTACAGCAGCTGCCAAGAGCTTACAGCCTATCCGGGGGGATGGAGCACATCCATGTGGAAATGTGTCAACTACAGGCCCAAGCTGTGACAGGAGGAAGAAGGGGTGTGACAGTGAGCCAGGGGCTAAAATCTTCAATGAATGAGCGGAAGTAGCTGGGGTTGATCAAGGACAGCAGTAAGAGGAGTTAGGAGTGGTTGTCAGAGTATGGACTTCAAAGAACCTGGGATTTTTTGGAGGACTTAAGAAAAATAGCTCGGAAGCAGCGGTGATGAGCAGGCAGACTCCACCTTACTCCCAGCTCAGAGGTACGTGGAGTGTGGGGGAAAAAACGGCCTCTGCTCAAAGGCGCTGCAGTGGAGGTGGTCTTAGGGCTGACGGGCATCATTCACAGCAAGAGAGTAAAGGGGACATTAGGAGAAGATGCTGTGGGGAGGAAGGGCTACTGGAAAGACTTGTCGCTGGGGAGGAAATTGGGTCACATTATGGGACATGTATGAGGATATGGATGATGGTAACTGGACAACAGGGATATGAGGCATGTGGGATTGGCCCCAAAGGACACTTAGCAGAAGGTGGAGAATCTAAGCTGGAAGGCAAGGAGCCACTGGGTGACATACCAGACCCCAAACTCACGTCAGGGAGAACATTTTCTCATTCTGTCTACATTTGGCTTATGATTCTTAAACTGTGAATATTTAAAGGGCAGAACCTCAAAATATTTTTATTTTTTTGAGACTGAGTCTTGCTCTGTCACCCAGGCTGCTGTGCAGTGGCATGATCTCAGCTCACTGCGACCTCCGCCTCCCGGGTTCAAGCAGTTCTCCTGCCTCAGTCTCCCAAGTGGATGGGACTACAGGTGTGTGCAACCACACCCAGCTAATTTTTGTGTTTTTGGTAGGGACAGGGTTTCACCATGTTGGCCAGGCTGGTCTTGAACTCCTGACCTCAGGTGATCCACCCACCTCGGCCTCCCAAAGTGCTGGGATTGTAGGCATCAGTCATCATGCCCAGCCTCACGATATTTTTAATATTAAACATGGAAGTCATCTTATCTATTAAAGGTAGTGAGCTGAAGAGATGTGATTGATTGATTGGCAGAGTCTCGCCCTGTTGCCCAGGCTGGAGTGCAATGGTGTGATCCCGGCTCACTGCAACCTCCACCTCCCAGATTTAAGCAATTCTCCTGCCTCAGCCTCCTGAGTACCTGGGATTACAGACATATGCTACCACACCCAGCTATTTTTTTTGTATTTTTGGTGGAGATGGGGTTTTATCATTTTGGCCAGGCTGGTCTCGAACTCCTGACCTTGTGGTCTGCCCTCCTCAGCCTCCCAAAGTGCTGGGATTACAGGTGTGAGCCACCGTGCCGGGCCTGAAGAGATGTGATTCTGATACTGTTTTGACATGTTCCACTTCATCAGACAATACCATGATTCACTTGGTTATTGCTGGTTGGCAAAAGGAAGTATAAGGAAAGAAGTTTGATAAATAAAGCTGCTCTGAGAGTGACAAACAACCCCACATTCTATCGTCTTCAGATGTTCAGGTCTTCTAAATCGCTGCTTCTGAAACTTTAACAAGCACCAAAATCATTTAACAAACGATAACTAAGCTGGGTATTGGCACATGCCTTTTGTCCCAGCTATTTGAGAGGCTGAGGCAGGAGGGAGGATCACTTGAGCCTAGGAGTTTAAGTCCAGCATAGGCAACAAGCAAGACTCCATCTCAAAAAAAAAAAAAAAGCCTATTAAAGCACAGATTGCTGGCTGGGCATGGGGCTCATGCCTGTAATCCCAGCACTTTGGGAGATCAAGGAGGACATATTGCTTGAGGTCAGGAGTTCGAGATCAGCCTGGCCAACATGGTGAAACCCTGTCTCTACTCCAGATATAAAAATTAGCCAGGCGTGGTGGCACACACTTGTAGTCCCAGCTACTCGGGAGGCTGAGGCAGGAGAATTGCTTGAACCCGGGAGGCAGAGGCCGAGATTGCACCACTGCACTCCAGCCTGGGCAACAGAGCATGACTGTCTCAAGGGAAAACACACACACACACACACACACACACACACACACACACACACACAGGCGGAGGCCGAGATTGCACCACTGCACTCCAGCCTGGGCGACAGAGCATGACTGTCTCAAGGGAAAACACACACATACACACACACACACACACACACACACACACACACAGGCGGAGGCCGAGATTGCACCACTGCACTCCAGCCTGGGCAACAGAGCATGACTGTCTCAAGGGAAAACACACACACACACACACACACACACACACACACACACACACACACAGGTGGAGGCCGAGATTGCACCACTGCACTCCAGCCTGGGCGACAGAGCATGACTGTCTCAAGGGAAAACACACACACACACACACACACAGGCGGAGGCCGAGATTGCACCACTGCACTCCAGCCTGGGCAACAGAGCATGACTGTCTCAAGGGAAAACACACACACACACACACACACACACACACACACAGGCGGAGGCCGAGATTGCACCACTGCACTCCAGCCTGGGCGACAGAGCATGACTGTCTCAAGGGAAAACACACACACACACACACACAGGCGGAGGCCGAGATTGCACCACTGCACTCCAGCCTGGGCGACAGAGCATGACTGTCTCAAGGGAAAACACACACACACACACACACACACACACACAGGCGGAGGCCGAGATTGCACCACTGCACTCCAGCCTGGGCGACAGAGCATGACTGTCTCAAGGGAAAACACACACACACACACACACACACACACACACACAGGCGGAGGCCGAGATTGCACCACTGCACTCCAGCCTGGGTGACAGAGCATGACTGTCTCAAGGGAAAACACACACACACACACACACAGGCGGAGGCCGAGATTGCACCACTGCACTCCAGCCTGGGCGACAGAGCATGACTGTCTCAAGGGAAAACACACACACACACACACACACACACACACACAGGCGGAGGCCGAGATTGCACCACTGCACTCCAGCCTGGGCAACAGAGCATGACTGTCTCAAGGGAAAACACACACACACACACACACACACAGGCGGAGGCCGAGATTGCACCACTGCACTCCAGCCTGGGCGACAGAGCATGACTGTCTCAAGGGAAAACACACACACACACACAGGCGGAGGCCGAGATTGCACCACTGCACTCCAGCCTGGGCGACAGAGCATGACTGTCTCAAGAGAAAACACACACACACACACACACACACACACACACACAGGCGGAGGCCGAGATTGCACCACTGCACTCCAGCCTGGGCGACAGAACATGACTGTCTCAAGGGAAAACACACACACACACACACACACACAGGCGGAGGCCGAGATTGCACCACTGCACTCCAGCCTGGGCGACAGAGCATGACTGTCTCAAGGGAAAACACACACACACACACACACACACACACACACACACAGGCGGAGGCCGAGATTGCACCACTGCACTCCAGCCTGGGCGACAGAGCATGACTGTCTCAAGGGAAAACACACACACACACACACACAGGCGGAGGCCGAGATTGCACCACTGCACTCCAGCCTGGGCGACAGAGCATGACTGTCTCAAGGGAAAACACACACACACACACACACAGGCGGAGGCCGAGATTGCACCACTGCACTCCAGCCTGGGCGACAGAGCATGACTGTCTCAAGAGAAAACACACACACACACACACACACAGGCGGAGGCCGAGATTGCACCACTGCACTCCAACCTGGGCGACAGAGCATGACTGTCTCAAGGGAAAACACACACACACACACACACACACACACACACACAGGCGGAGGCCGAGATTGCACCACTGCACTCCAACCTGGGCGACAGAGCATGACTGTCTCAAGGGAAAACACACACACACACACACACACACACAGGCGGAGGCCGAGATTGCACCACTGCACTCCAGCCTGGGCGACAGAGCATGACTGTCTCAAGAGAAAACACACACACACACACACACACAGGCGGAGGCCGAGATTGCACCACTGCACTCCAGCCTGGGCGACAGAGCATGACTGTCTCAAGAGAAAACACACACACACACACACACACAGGCGGAGGCCGAGATTGCACCACTGCACTCCAACCTGGGCGACAGAGCATGACTGTCTCAAGGGAAAACACACACACACACACACACACACACACACACACACACACAGGCGGAGGCCGAGATTGCACCACTGCACTCCAGCCTGGGCGACAGAGCATGACTGTCTCAAGGGAAAACACACACACACACACACACACACACACACACACACACAGGCGGAGGCCGAGATTGCACCACTGCACTCCAGCCTGGGTGACAGAGCATGACTGTCTCAAGGGACACACACACACACACACACAGGCGGAGGCCGAGATTGCACCACTGCACTCCAGCCTGGGCGACAGAGCATGACTGTCTCAAGGGAAAACACACACACACACACACACACACACACACACACACACACAGGCGGAGGCCGAGATTGCACCACTGCACTCCAGCCTGGGCGACAGAGCATGACTGTCTCAAGAGAAAACACACACACACACACACACACACACACACACACACACACAGGCGGAGGCCGAGATTGCACCACTGCACTCCAGCCTGGGCGACAGAGCATGACTGTCTCAAGAGAAAACAAACACACACACACACACACACACACACACACACACACAGGCGGAGGCCGAGATTGCACCACTGCACTCCAGCCTGGGCGACAGAGCATGACTGTCTCAAGGGACACACACACACACAGCTGGGTCACTGGGCCCCGCGCTGAGTTTCTGTGCAGTAGGGCTGGTGAAGGGCCCATGGACTGGTTTTTCTATTAAGTTCCCGGTGGATCCTGATGCTAAAACACGCAAAGTTTCTGAGCCAGACTTAGAGCAAGTTCCATCTACAGTATAGAGAAAGTAAGTGCCCGCAGGAGTTAGAGGAAAGAAGACTGGGTTGGGATAATCAAGGCGGGATTGATGAAAATGATAGGTCTTCAGTTGAGTCTCTGGAGTTAGGAAGGAAAGAAAGCCTAACCGGGTTGAAAGGGAGGAAATGGATGAGCCAGGTGCCTATGATGAATTTCTGCTCCCCTTTCAGGCCCATGCCCAAGCCTGGCATTCTTATAACACCACGTGGCGCAGCAAGCAGCAAGGTGAGCTGTGGCCCCAAACATGTACCTAGGACAGCCAAGTGCCTGGAGCAGCAATGGCATGTCCACCTCCCACTCCCTTTTCTTTCTTTTTTTTTTTAAGGTCTGGTGGGAATTTCATTGAACTGTGACTGGGGGGAACCTCTGGACATTAGTAACCCCAAGGACATAGAGGCTGCTGAGAGATATCTACAGTTCTGTCTGGGCTGGTTTGCCAATCCCATTTATGCCGGTGACTACCCCCAAGTCATGAAGGACTATATTGGTGAGCCCCGTCTCATTTTAAACTGCAGATGCCATGACAAGTTATTGAGCCCACAGGAAATGAGCAAAAGGCAGGGGGATGAGGAGCTCATTGGGTCTGGGTGAGGTACTCAAGGGATAATCCAGACTCCAAAGAATTGAGAACCAGATATTTGAGTTGGCAGGGAGGAACCCTAGACCTCTGAGTTTCCCTAGACCAGCTGGGTGCAGTGGCTCACGCCTGTAATCCCAGCACTTTGGGAGGCCAAGGTGGGCAGATCACAAGGTCAGGAGTTCGAGACCAGCCTGACCAACATGGTGAAACCTCGTCTCTACTAAATAATACAAAAATTAGCCAGGCGTGGTGGCGGGCACCTGTAATCCCAGCTACTCGGGAGGCTGAGGCAGGAGAATCGCTTGAACCCGGGAGGCAGAGGTTGCAGTGAGCCAAGATTGCACCCCTGCAGTTGAGCCTGGGTGACAGAGCAAAACTCCATCTCAAAAAAAAAAAAAAAAAAAAAAATTCCATTTTTGATATGTATCACATTTTGCTTATTGATTCATCCATCAATAGACACTTAAGTTGCTTCCATGTTTTTAGCTCTTGTGAATAATGCTAAAAACACGAGTGTACAAATATCTCAAGATCCAGCTTTCAGTGATTTGGGTTATATACCCAGAAGTGCAATTGCTGGATCATACAAAAAATTCCATCAGTCATTTTTTTTTAAGGAAGCATGATACTGTTTTCAACAGTGGCTATACCATTTTATATTCCCAGCGATAATACACAAAGGTTCCAATTACTCCACATCCTTGCCAACACTTGTTATTTTGTCTAATAATGGCCATCGGAATGGGCGTGAGGGTCTCACTGCAGTTTTAATTTGTATTTCCCTAATAATTTCTAAGAACATCTTTTCATGTGCTTACTGGCCATTTGTAGATCTTCTTTGGAAAAACATGCCAATTCAGGTTCTTTGCCCATTTTTGAATTGGGTTGTTTCGTTGTTAAGTTTTGGGAATTCTCTACATATTCTAGAGTCTAATCTTTTATCAGATATATGGTATTCAAATATTTCCTCTCATTCTTTGTGGGTTGGTTTTTATTCCGTTGCTGGTGTCTTGATTCTCAAATTATAAAAAATTCCATGAAGTCCAATTTGTCTATGTATGTTTGTTCCTTTGCCTGTTTTTATTGCCTGTGCCTTTAGTGTCAGGGTCAAGATCTAACTGCCCTTAATACAGTGATCAGAAGTATTAAGAAAAAAAAGATATAACTGCCTAATTAAATGCCATGCTAAATATTTTTATTCTTTTTGATGCTAAGTGGTATTTTCTTAATTTCATTTTCAGATTGTTCATTGTTGATGTATAGAAATGTAACTGGTGTTTGTGTTACCTCTGTATGGAGCTAACTTGCCAAATTCATTTATTAGCTCTAACAATTTTTTTATGGTATCTTTTAAGATTTTCTGCATATAAGATCCTATCTGTGAACAGAGTTAATTTTTACTTTTTTTCCAATTAAGATGCCTTTTATTTCTTTTTCTTGCATAATTACTCTGGCTAGAACTCTCATTACTATGTTGAATAGAACTGGTGAAAGCAGGTATCCTTTTCTTCTACCCTCTTAAGTTTTTTTTTTTTTTGAGACAGAGTCTCTCACTGTTGCTGAGGCTGGAGTGCAGTGGTGTAATCTTGGCTCACTGCAATCTCTGCCTCCTGCCTCCTGGGTTCAAGCGATTCTTGGGCCTCAGTCACCCGAATAGCTGAGATTACAGGCTCGGACCACCACACCTGGCTAATTGTATTTTTAGTAGAAATGGGTTTTGCTATGTTGGCCAGGCTGGTCTTGAACTCCTGGTTTCAAGCGATCTGCCCACCTCCACCTCCCAAATTATAGGAATTGTAGGCGTGAACCAGTGCGACCAGCCATTCCCCTTAACTATTTTAAAGAACAAGAAAAATCTTCCCAGGAAACAGCTTCTGTCCCTTTGTGCCTCAAGGGACAGAACTGTCACATGTTTAGGTCAGGTGATGCCCTAGACCATCATGACCAGGGACCCAGAGGCTGGGGAGGAAGGGGCACAGAAGACAACAGGCATGGAACTACTGGGTAGGCGACGAGCAGTGTCTGAGCATAGAAATTTAAACATTATCTCTGATTTAAAGGTCTTAGCTGGCACTCACCCTAAAAAAAAAGAGAGACACAAAAATAACACTGTAATTGGGTTACAGTTTCATACAACAAAGCTGGTTTAGGTGTTTGAAAAATGCAGTGCCTCTTTATAAAACACATTTATCCAACAGACTTATCTGGAACAGGAGGTAGCAAGTTCTAATTCCAACTCTGCCACTAACTAGTGAGTGAGTAGGCAAGGTGTTTCACCACTTTGGCTTTTAATCTTATCTGAAAATGAAGGCATTAGACAAAAGTTTTCTTTTTTTTGGAGACAGAGTCCCACTCTGTCACCCACGCTGGAGTGCAGTGGCGCAATCTTGGCTCACTGCAACCTCCGCCTCCCGGGTTCAAGTGATTCTCCTGCCTCAGCCTCCTGAGTAGCTGGGACTATAGGCACCCGCCACCACACCAGGCTAATTTTTTATTTTTGGTAGAGACAGGGTTTCACTCTGTTGGCCAGGTTGGTCTCAAACTTCTGATCTCAGGTGATCTGCCCACCTCAGCCTCCCAAAGTGCTGGATTATAGGCGTTAGCCACCGTGCCTGGCTGACAAAATCTTTAAAAATCTTTTGGTGACAGCCAGTTCTGTGACACATCTATACACATACAGTCAAAATCTTGACAATGATTTCCTCAAGATGCACAAGGAAAAAGCCTTCATAAAGGGACTGACAGGGCCCATGTCCCTATAGACACAACTTTTTTTTTTTTAATTTTTTTTTTCATTGCATTTTAGGTTTTGGGGTACATGTGAAGAACATACAAGATAGTTGCATAGGTACACACGTGGCAGTGTGATTTGCTGCCTTCCTCCCCTTCACCTATATCTGGCATTTCTCCCCATGCTATCTCTCCCCAACTCCCCACCCCCTGCTGTCCCTCCCCTACTCCCCCCCAATAGACCCCAGCGTGTAGTGCTCCCCTCTCTGTGTCCATGTGTTCTCATTGTTCAACACCCACCTATGAGTGAGAACATGCGGTATTTCATTTTCTGTTCTTGTGTCAGTTTGCTGAGAATGATGTTCTCCAGGTTCATCCATGTCCCTACAAAGGACACGAACTCGTTTTTGATGGCTGCATAATATTTCATGGTGTATATGTGTCACATTTTCCCTGTCCAGTCTATCATCGATGGGCATTTGGGTTGATTCCAGGTCTTTGCTATTGTAAACAGTGCTGCAATGCACATTCGTGTGCATGTGTCCTTATAGTAGAATGATTTATAGTTCTTTGGATATATACCCAGTAATGGGATTGCTGGATCAAATGGAATTTCTATTTCTAAGGCCTTGAGGAATCGCCACACTGTCTTCCACAATGGTTGAACTAATTTACACTCCCACCAGCAGTGTAAAAGTGTTTCTATTTCTCCACATCCTCTCCAGCATCTGTTGTCTCGATTTTTTAATGATCACCATTCTAACTGGCGTGAGATAGTATCTCAATGTAGTTTTGATTTGCATTTCTCTAATGACCAGTGATGATGAGCATTTTTTCATATGTTTGTTGGCTTCATGTATGTCTTCTTTTATAAAGTGTCTGTTCATATCCTTTTACCCACTTTTTAAGGGGCTTGTTTTTTTCTTGTAAATCTGTTTTAGTTCTTTGTAAATTCTGGATATCAGCCCTTTGTCAGATGGGTAAACTGCAAAAATTTTTTCCCATTCTGTTGGTTGCCGATTCACTCTAGTGACTTTCTTCTGCTGTGCAGAAGCTGTGGAGTTTGATTAGGTCCCATTTGTCTATTTTGGCTTTTGTTGCCAATGCTTTTGGTGTTTTGGTCATGAAGTCCTTGCCTACTCCTATGTCCTGAATGGTTTTGCCTAGACTTTCTTCTAGGGTTTTTATGGTGTTAGGTCTTAATTTAAGTCTTTAATCCATCTGGAATTAAGTTTACTGTAAGGTGTCAGGAAGGGGTCCAGTTTCTGCTTTCTGCACATGGCTAGCCAGTTTTCCCAACACCATTTATTAAACAGGGAATCTTTTCCCCATTGCTTGTTTTTGTCAGGTTTGTCAAAGATCGTATGGTTGTAGATATGGACACAACTTATTCACACAGTGCATTCTTTCTCTTGGGACCCTCAGAGGCCACTGCAGGTGCCACAAGAAGATTGCATTAAAAAGTCAAATCGACTTTGTCAGAGAGCATTTAATGCCAATAATCCTACCCCCTACCAACTCCAAATGTGTGACAATGCACATGGCAAACAGGCTGAACTTTTCTTTTGCACGATGTGGAAAGAAGGATCCTCTAAGCAGTTAAAGTTTTATTTAGTACTGAAAGCATTCTGCCTGAAGTCTTGTTCACAAATTACTTCCAGACCTCTTAGAAGTACTCTTTTAGATCGAGACCATCCTGACTAACATGGTGAAACCCTATCTCTACTAATAATACAGAAATTAGCTTGGCATGGTGGCACGCACTTGTAATCCCAGCTACTCGGGAGGCTGAGGCAGGAGAATCACTTGAACCCAGGAGGCGGAGGTTGGAGTGAGCCGAGATTGCGCCACTGCACTCCAGCCTGGTGACAGAGCAAGACTCTGTCTCAAAAAGAAAAAAAAAGGTACTCTTTTACTCACAGTAAATATATAAACAAAAGTATTTCCAGATCAGTGCCGTTCAATAGAACTTTCCACAATGATGGAAATGTTCTATATATGTGCTATCCAATTACCCAGTACAACAGCTTCTAGCCACCAGTGTGTATTAAAATTTTTAAAAATTAAACATTAAAAATGCAATCCTTTGGTCACTATATTTTAATAGTCACATGCAGCAAGTGGCTACTGTATTACTGCAAGGACAATGACAATAGCTGGTGGTTTTTCTTAAGTTACTAAATGTAACGAAACAACATGCCAATATTTTATTTGCTTTATGCCAATATCTTAGAAGTATTTAATAACACAAACTTTGTAATCATTTTATATAAACTATTATCCTCTTTGGAACTATTCTTATGGTTGTATTAGATCGATTCATGGGAAATGTTGTTTTTCTTGATTTATATATTAAAAACCATGTTTACATAGTTCACACATGGGTATGTTTCAAATTTTTTTAAAAAGTATGAAGTAAAAAGTCAGGTCTCTCTCCCTTCCTCCTCTGAAGCAAGTATATGTCCAGAGATGGATTGTGCCTGTGGTCAGTGTATATACTTGTGATTACATGCAACATTTTGAAGCTTGCTTTCACTGACACATACATCCCGGCAAGCTTTCCACATTGCTATAGAAAGTGCTACCTCATTTGTTCTAATGGCTGCACAGTGTTGAACTGATGGATATTTCATCATTTATGTAACCAGTCCCTACTGACACTGAGGTTGTTTCCCAGCTTTTGCTACTCGGTCTGTAATGAAGATCCTTGGACACACATCCCTTTACATGTGTGAGTAGAGTGTAAACAGATTTGGAATTGGTCAGTGAAAGAACATATGTTTTTATAACTTTCAAAGATAGGACATACCATCACTGGCCTTCCAGTTCCCTTCCCAGAGGCAACTAAAAGTACCCATTTTTATTTTTTAATTTTTTGAGATGGAGGTTCCCTCTTATTGCCCAGGCTAGAGTGCAATGGAGCGATCTTGGCTTACTGCAACCTCCGCCTACTGGGTTCAAGTGATTATCCTGCCTCAGCCTCCTAAGTAGCTGGGATTACAGATGCATTCTACCATGGCCAGCTCATTTTTATATTTTTAGTATAAAAACCCGTCTCGGGTTTCACCATGTTGGTCAACTGGTCTCAAACTCCTGACCTCATGATCCACGTGCCTCAGCCTCCCAAAGTGCTGGGATTACAGGCAGGTGCCACGGCGCCTGGCCAAATTACCCATTTTTAATGTAAGGAACAGTACTTTTTTCCAGTTGGCTACACACCACTTACTGAGTAACCTGTGAAAATACTACTTTTAAGTGATACAAACTCATAAATTTTTTGGACAGTATTGAAATTTCAAAAATTCCATGTTGAATGGCTAACGTTATACTTCCCATGCTGACGAATCCTAAAGTTGAGCTTTTATGTCAACATGTCACTGTCATGATACATAACACAGTGATAGGGAGAAAATCAGGCATTGTTAAATTCTCCTTTTCTCTCTCTAAAGGAAGAAAGAGTGCAGAGCAAGGCCTGGAGATGTCGAGGTTACCAGTGTTCTCACCCCCGGAGAAGAGCTACATTAAAGGCACATCTGACTTCTTGGGATTAGGTCATTTTACTACTCGGTACATCACGGAAAGGAACTACCCCTCCCGCCAGGGGCCCAGCTACCAGAATGATCGTGACTTGATAGAACTGGTTGACCCAAACTGGCCAGATCTGGGGTCTAAATGGCTACATTCTGTGCCATGGGGATTTAGGAGGCTCCTCAACTTTGCTCAGGTGATTATCGCATTAATCTGTTCAAAGGACATTTAGATTGAATTCGTGTTCTCAAGGCTTTAACTTTTCCATACATTAGAAAGTTAATAAAAATAAACCTAGTTACTCATATTTCAGAGGCTACTAAGTATAGGCTTTACAGACTCGTGCCTACCAGGCATAACCATTTGTATGTATATACCTTTAGCTAAAATCCTTACACCACATACTTATTTTGCTGTCCTCCTCACCTAAACTGGAATATGTGGCAAAGAACAAGACCAAAGTACATGTTGCCACCTCCAACAATGCTTTTTTTTTTTTTTTTTGAGATGGAGTCTTGCTTGGTCGCCCAAGCTGGGGTGCAGTGGCACAATCAGCTCACTGCAACCTCTGCCTCCCAGGTTCAAGCGATTCTCATGTCTCAGCCTCCCAAGTAGCTGGGATTACAGGTGCCCACCACCACACCTGGCTAATTTTTGTACTTTTAGTAGAGACAGGCTTTTGCCACGTTGGTCTTGAACTACTGACCTCAGGTGATTGGTCCACCTTGGCCTCCCAAAGTGATGGGATTACAGGTGTGAGTCATCAATATCCAGCAAGGATGCTCATGTATTGAGAAATACATTCTTCATATGAACCTGTCTCCTGCCTACATTAATCTCTAAATAAACATGTTATGTTTATTGACATCTACTAAATGCAAAAATATACTTGATTAGAATGTGGCAGGCTTGAATAGGTGTTCCTGTCTGAGCCTCTGACTCAGAAACCTACCTGTAGTACGGTTAGAATTTTTAAAATATTTGTTGCTATGACTCACTTTCAGACTCAATATGGCAATCCTCCCATATATGTGATGGAAAATGGAGCATCTCAGAAATTCCACTGTACTCAATTATGTGATGAGTGGAGAATTCAATACCTTAAAGGCTACATAAATGAAATGCTAAAAGGTAAGACGCAAACCAAGTCTGTCTGCCCGTTTTCCCACTTAACTGAGACAAAATGTGATTAACACACATGATCATCTGAAACTTGCTTCTAAATTTCATAAATGAAAACATTTTAACATTATCTTCAGTTTTATTTTTCTAAGTAAATGAAATGTATTTTAAATGGAATAAAATGTCTTTGCAGCTATAAAAGATGGTGCTAATATAAAGGGGTATACTTCCTGGTCTCTGTTGGATAAGTTTGAATGGGAGAAAGGATACTCAGATAGATATGGATTCTACTATGTTGAATTTAACGACAGAAATAAGCCTCGCTATCCAAAGGCTTCAGTTCAATATTACAAGAAGATTATCATTGCCAGTGGGTTTCCCAATCCAAGAGAGGTAGGCCTCATTATCAATGTTATCTGTTCTGAACTTTAGAAGAGCTAGGGAGCTGGAACACACACAGAGCTTGGCAAGTACCTCTCCTCTTTCCTCCATAAAAGAGGAAGGAAAGGAGTATGCAGCATGGCCATTTATTTCACCCCTTTGCTCATCTGCTTAGGATGAAGCAAGCATCCCATAAACCTCAGCATTGGGCAGGGCACGACCAGAGGTCATGCAGGAGTTCCGTTTGCTTTAAGCTATAATGGGACAAAATCAAGAGACTTCTGGTTGAATGTTACTCTAAATCTGTGTCTTAATGCAAACAAATACCTATTCTTCAACATATATGAAAACATTTAAGTAAATCAAACGTGTAATTAGCATTGCGTTTTCATCTATTTTCCAGCCACGCAGCAGAGCCATACAAGCACAGGCTTCAAAATAAGATGTAAAGTAGTCTACCAAACATTTTTCTTTTCTTTTTTTTTTTTTTTTTTTTTTTTTGGAGACGGAGTCTTGCTCTGTCTCCCAGGCTGGAGTGCAGTGGCATGATCTTGGCTCAGTGCAACCTTCACCTCCCAGGTTCAAGCAATTCTCCTGCCTCAGCTTCCTGAGTAGCTGGGATTACAGGTGCATGCCACCACACCTGGCTAATTTTTGTATTTTTAGTAGAGATGAGGGATTACAGATGTGAGCCACCATGCCTGGCCCAAACATTTTCAATAACCTGAAAATTTTTCTAGCAGCTCTCTATTTTCTGTGATGAGGCACCAGTTGGTAGGGAATAGAAACCCTAATTTAGAGTGTCTTGGCCAGGTATAGTGGCTCACGCCTATAACCACAGCACCTTGGGAGGCTGGGGTGAGAGGACTGCTTGAGGCCAACTGTTCAAGACCAGCTTAGGCAACACAGCGAGATCTCGTTTCTACAAAAAACTTAAAAATCAGCTGGATGTGGTGGCACACCTATAGTCCCAGCTACTTGGGAGACTGAGGCGTTGGGATCACTTGAGCCCAAGAGTTTGAGGCTGCAGTGAGCTATGATTGCTCCACTGCACTCCAGCCTGAGCAACATAGCAAGACTCTTTCTATAAATTAAAATAGGCCAGGTGTGATGGCTCACGCCTGTAATCTCAGCATTTTGGGAGGCTGAGGTGGGTGGAGCATAAGGTCAAGAAATCAAGACCATTCTGGCCATGGTGAAACCCCATCTCTACTAAAAACACAAAAATTTCGCTAGGTATGGTGGCATGCGCCTATAGTCCCAGGTACTCAGGTGGCTGAAGCAGAATTGTTTGAACCTGGGAGATGGTGGTTGCAGTGAGCCACGATCACGCCACAGCACTCCAGCCTGGGCAACAGAGCAAGACTCTGAAAAAAATTTTTTTTAAATAAAAAGAGTGTCTTAATAAAAATGATTTTAAAAAGTATATCTCATTCGTTTACCAAAAGTATTTTAAGGTGAACCCAGTAGGACTATTAAATGGAAGCAGTAACTAATAGCCATATAGCATTTGCTACTTTTACATTATTAGAAAAGCACTAGCCTGTACACTCAAGAACAAAGACACTTCTCTGACTCCCTATGATGTACATGGATGTAAATATTAATTAATTTAAACTACAAGTAAAGATGATTTAAACACAAACTACAGATAGACTTACAAAAATATTTTATCCCATATTTATTTCAAAAATGATTTGAAACAGCAAAAAATTAGTCTGAAGACAATATTATTTATCAAGTGGGCTTTTATTAGGTGGAAAGTTGGCACCAGAAAGCTTTGGAAACTTGCTCTATCAACAATCAGATGCTTGCGGCAGGTGAGTCCGTACGTTTTCACGTTTTCCTTTAATAATTAAATAATTATATATAGCATTACCAAAATCTCGAAATGTGACTCTACTTGAAGTCAATCTTCCAAAACTGTTTATGATTAGAATCAGGTTTCTTTACTTTGAAGCAATGTCAAATTTCTATTTATAAGCATTTTAAACATAAATAATCTACCATGAAAGAGAAACATTTTATCCACTCAAGTTTTATACTTTTGGAATCATACTATGAATTTATATACCTACTATTTTTGTTACAGTGTGTTTGGGCACGGAGAGGAAAAGCCAACCATTGTACCAAATGGGAGGAGATGAAAAGAACACTTGAGATCTTATGTTTGTTCATTTGGCAAGCAACGATTAAGCACTCACTACTTGCCAAGGAATGTTTTAAGTCATGAGATTTGGCAATGAACAAAACGAGGTCCCTATCTTCATAGGATACATCATTTCCTATGCAATGGATCTAAAAAGATCAGAGATGTCAAATAACAAAGATGCAACTGTGCATCAGGAAATGCCAACACATATCATTTGTTTGAATTTTATCTTTATTTCTCCATAAGGACAATCAGAGAAATATACTTCCTTTTTAACAAACTCATCTTTAATGCGGTAGTGGAGGTGGAAGGTGCTAGACCAAATCTTACCAAACTAGCTATTTTTACAGGCCACTATAGCAACATGCACCGCACCCCCAGCAAATTTAAATAATCAGGCGATATTAAGAATGTATATTCCCTTAAACTAAACAATGTTGAAACATGGTACAGAATTCACTGATGAGCCTGTGAACTCCTTGTGAAGATGTCCAGAGCTTTCTTTATCTCAGTAACCAGAGTACCTGGCACACAAACTAAAACTGGCTATTAGATAAGTGGCCACTATTTACCAATAATACACATGACATATGCTGTTCATTAACTCTTAGATTATTATTCAGTTGTACAAGAACTACCATAATTTCTGTTTTCAGGTTATAGGAATATACAAATTCCTATACTTAAGATATATAATAACATCTTAGAAAGGTTGGAAATGTTTCCCAAGGACCCTTCTTTCACAAATCCCCCCAAGTAAAAATTATAGGAACTGTGGAATATAGCTGCTACTATTCTGAGATTAGTAAGTATAAGCATTGAGAGACATTTAGACGTTATTATAGTATCTGTGGAAGAAGGAAATCTAGGCATTCCTTATCCCATACTTTCTGAAATATTTACAAAGCTCTTATAAAATTTTCAGATAACATTTAATTCACTAACTTCTATTTCATGGCAAATAATCAGAGGGTGCTATTTTTTAAGTTTTTCCAATACAGTTAAAGCTTTTGGGATAAGCCGTATTTACTAAAAAGATCCTGTTCTCATTTGTGGTCCTTGTTCTCTTTTGTCATTTCAGAGCCCTTGCTAAGTCACATGCAAATGGTTACAGAGATCGTGGTACCTACTGTCTGCTCCCTCTGCGTTCTCATCGCTGCTGTTCTAGTAATGCTCCTCCTGAGGAGGCAGAACTGAGACAGGATTACCAATTTTGGAGCTTCATAAGAGAATCATCAGGATCTTCGTCCCTTTTCTGCTTTCAGGGTTTACATGTATTTCTGTTTTCAGGTTCTACAGTAATTACCTTTTCTTCTCTTTCTCTTTTTGGCTTGTGCTGGGATTTAAGAATTAGAAAATAAAAATAAGCAGAAACTTAAAAAAAAAAAATCACTTGTAATCTCACCCCTCCTAAAGTTAATGTTAACATTTTGCTGTATATAATGTATATTATGAATTATTTACAAAAATGGGATCATAGTATACAAACTGTTGTGACTTGACAGTTTATCACTCTAAAATCTGTCCAAAAATATTACTTTAATATTCAAAGGATTGCCATCTCAGCACCATCCTATACCTGATAGATGAATCAATCTGGTCAGGTGCAGTGGCTCATGCCTGTAATCGCAGCACTTTGGGAGGCTGAGACGGGTGAATCACTTAAGGCCAGAAGTTCGAGACCAACCTGGCCAACATGGTTAAACCCTGTCTCTACTAAAAATACAAAAACTAGCTAAGCATGGTGGTGGGTGCCTGTAATCCCAGCTACTTGGGAAGCTGGGGCAGGAGAATCACTTGGGAGGTGAAGATTGCAGTGAGCTGAGATCATGCCACTGCACTCCAGCCTGGGCAACAGAGAAGACTCCGTCTCAAAGAGAAAAGAAAAGAAATCTATAGACAACAATCCTTCCAGGTTGTAAATGTTATTAGCCAACCACAGAAAAGCATGAGGTGGGTATCAAGCAAATGAGCACATACATTATTCTGACACATAAGTTGACTAAATTCAACTTGCTTTATTCAATGAAATACCTCAAAGAAATATGTTTACTTATTATCTTCTAGGTAACTCAGTATCTTGTTTTTTATAATAGATTCATTTTACTCTTAAAATGCTAAAATTGATTGATTTCCATTTATTTTGGGGATAAAACATGGCTTAAGAACAACCTTTGCAAATCAACAGGAAGTAAAAAAAAACTCATGCATTTTACTTATTTGATTTTACTAAATACTGTTTCTGAAACTGAAAAACAGTAAGACAGTAGAAAATGTCATTCCATTAATTCTTTTGGTTAATATGATCTCAAAACATTTTAAGAACAGTATTGGGCCGGGTGCGGTGGCTCACGCCTGTAATCCCAGCACTTTGGGAGGCCGAGGCGGGTGGATCACGAGGTCAAGAGATCGAGACCATCCTGGTCAACATGGTGAAACCCCGTCTCTACTAAAAATACAAAAAATTAGCTGGGCATGGTGGCGCGTGCCTATAATCCCAGCTACTCGGGAGGCTGAGGCAGGAGAATTGCCTGAACCCTGAGCCGAGATCGCGCCACTGCACTCCAGCCTGTGTAACAAGATTCCGTCTCAAAAAAAAAAAAAAAAAACTGCATCTCAAAAAACAAACAAAAAACAGTATTTACACCTGGGGCTGGTCCTATGATTGGGCTGGAATAAAACTGCTTATAACAAAACTTTGCTAATAACGACAAATCAATATTCCTGTTCAGCGTTTTTCTCTTCCATGGTTCCTAATATATATACAGATTTTTAATGCAAAGATATTACCACTCAATTTCTTTTTTATCTCTGGTTTTAGGATTAAACTGACCTATTTTTGTTGACTATAAAAGGTAGAAAAGAGCTGCACTGCTCAACAGCAACTGGTAAGTCTTTTATGTGATTACTAATAATCCCTATTCCTAATGTAGTGAATCAACACCGATATTGTAGAAAGAACTAGACGTAAGGTACTTAATTACAAAGGAGTTGACAAAGAGATTAAAAGGTGAACATAAATACCTTACAGAAGACTTCATCAGCACAATTCACTTGAAATGCACCTGGCTGCAGGTAACCAGGTTAGTAAAGGATATCCTTTCTTCCAGGCTACCATTTAGCGTTAATTCTGAAAAATCTGTAATAAAAAAAAAAGTGAGATCAGAATTGGCTAACATCCTGCTTGCTTTTCTACCATGCATAATGCTGAATTTACAACAATACAATGACTAAGAGGTAGTCTAAATTGTGATGTGTCTTCTACTTTAAGAGAATTCATTGGAAAAAAATCCAGTAAGGACATTTGCTTTAAATATTAAACTCTTGAAGCATTTAAAACATTAAACATTAATGAAGCAGATTCTTTTTAAATTACATATTTTTACTTTGGAAACTCACTGCTTTACTTTTTGTGCCACAGTACAACTAACTATTTCCCAATCCTAACATAAATTTCCAAGAAGAATTTCTATGTAAGATCTGACACATTTTTCTCCCAAAGACCATTTTATTTCAAAAATAAATGGTCCAATCAACATTTAGATGGGTTAATGTCCACTTCCTTGTGGGTCAACATTTTGGTTTCCATATTTTCATCATTATCAACAATCATTTACTGAGCACCCACTGGGTGAGCAGCACTCCACTGGACACTTTTTCTCCTCCATTAACTCCAAATCATTATCCTCTCTTCCCATGGTAGCTAAAAGTACACTTTTCTCTCGTAAGTCTCCCTGCCTTTCATGTCAATTATTTTACACAAGAGCATCATGCCATTAAATATCTTGAAAAGCTAGTATTCAACTTAAGTGCTCAGTCTAAAGAAGTAAGAAGTATAACTCCTTAAAAACATATGATGTTTGAAAGAAAATTAAACATTTTGGGCCTTTAATATTTACAATTAAGACTTTGTTTGAATAGCCCATAATTTTTACACGTGAGATTTCCCCCTTCAAGAAAGGTTCTTGATTTGGGGCTAAAAGACCCTGAATAATTTCTAGACAAACACATCATGAATATATGAGGGGTAAAAGAGGTTATAAAGTTCAAGCCAAAATGAAGGTTCAGTGCGTTTCTGAGCACACAATATATGATTTCATAAGAATTCCTTATTTTCAAAGGAGTCACTAGGCCAATGCACTAGAAAATTGCTTTAACTCCAACATTCAAAATAACGTTCACTCTTTTTTGATGCAGTCCATGTCAAAGACTTGAAAAGATACGTTCAGTATACTAGCTTATTCAGCATCATTAGGAAAAGATATTTCATCTTACAGGAATTTCCTCAAAACAAAACTTTAATCTTTATGACATAAAATGTACTTAAAAAAATTTTTTTTTGGAGACAGTTTTGCTGTTGTTGCCCAGGCTGGAGTGCAATGGCGCCATCTCGTCTCACTGCACCTTCTGCCTCCCAGGTTCAAGCGATTCTCCTGCCTCAGCCTCCCAAGTAGCTAGGATTACAAGCATGCGCCACCACACCCGGCTAATTTTTTTGTATTTTTAGTACAGGCAGGGGTTTCACCATGTTGGCCAGGCTGGTCTTGAACTCCTGATCTCAGGTGATCCACCCACTTTGGCCTCCCAAAGTGCTGGGATTACAGGTGTGAGCCACATGTTTTCTTCTTAAAATTATTTAAAGAATACATGTTTCTATTTCTTTTTCTGCACTATCAGAAGTAGAGTCCTTAGCATGTTTCTTCTTTAAAAAACAATAGACATAAATAGAATGTTTAGTTTAGGTTGGTGATTCTCAGCCAGTTGTACAATAGATCACCTGAAGAACTTTACAAATTACTGATGTCCTGTCTGTACTCCCCGAGATTCTGATTTACCTGGTATGAGCGATATAACTTTTCTTTTTCCTTTGAGATAGGATCTCACTGTCACCCAGGCTGGAGTGCAGTGGCACCACAGCTCACTGCAGCCTCAACCTCCTGGGCTCAACTAATCCTCCCACATCAGCCTCCCAAGTAGCTAGGACTATAGGCACATGTCACCACATGCAGCTAATTTTTGTATTTTTTGTGCAGATGGTGTCCCACTGTGTTACCCAGGCTGGTCTTGAACTCTTAGGCACCAAGTGATCATCCTGTCTTAGCCTCCGAAAGTGCTAGGATTACCAACGTGAGCCACTGCACCTAGCTTAGGCAATAGAATTTTAAAAGCTCCAGAGATGATTCCAATGTTTAGCCCAAACTGGGCTATCTGTGCTACCACCATTCCATGTCTCATGGCTAAAATCTGGTTGTATCCTTTCAGATCTTATTTCTATGTCCCGATCTCCATGTTTTTGCTACCATAAGCAATACCACAACTAATAATCTTGTTCATAGGTCTGTCTGCACATGTCTGATTACATGTGTGTAATAAACTCCTACTGATGAAACTGCTAGGCCAAAGGAAAATACATATTTTTGTTGTTTTTTTTTTTTTTCTTTGAGGTGGAGTCTTGCTCTGCCACCCAGGCTGAAGTACAGCAGTGGCTGATCTTGGCTCATTGCAACCTCTGCCTCCCAGGTTCTAGCAATTCTCCTGCCTCAGCATTCCAAGTAGCTGGGATTAAAGGCACCCACCACCATGTCCAGCTATTCTTTTACAATTTTGATGGGTACCACCTTCCACAGAAGCTGTACAACTTTACATTCCCACCAGAAATGTGTGAGAATGACTGCCTGTTCTCCCATACCAATTACCAGCACTGACACCAAACTTTTTATCTTTGCTAATATGGAACAGGTATCTATATAATATAAATTTCTTGGCTGGGCACAGTGGCTCACGCCTGTAATCCCAGCACTTTGGGAGGCAGAGGCAGGTGGATCACGAGGTCAAGAGATTGAGGTCAGCAGGTTTTATTCTTTTACATTTTTCAGAGATGGAATCTCACTATGTTGCCAGGCTCGCCTTGAACTCTTGGGCTCCAAGCAATCTTTCCCACCTCAGCCTCCCAAGTAGCTGGGAGTACAAGTGAGCACATCTTATTTTTAAAATGACATTTGAATTTCCTTTTGCTACACTGTTTATCCATTTTTCTATTGAGTTAATATTTTTCTTACTGAAATATATCCCCTTTTCCCAAAGTGGGCTACAAATTTTTGTGAGATGGAGTCTCGCTCTGTTGTCCAGGCTGAGTGCAGTGGTGTGATCTCAGCTCACTGCAACCTCTGCCTCCCAGGTTCAAGCAATTTTCCTGCTAATTTTTTATATTTTTTCAGTAGAGACAGAATTCTGCCAGGCTGATCTTGAATTCCCAATCTTGTGATCCGCCTGCCTCGGCCTACCAAAGTGCTAGGATTACAGGCGTGAGCTACCACACCCAGCCTGGGCTACAAATTTCTTTTCCTAGTTTATAATTTGTCTATTTTGCCTCTGATATGTTTTGCCATGAGGAATTTTATCTATTTTTACAGCTGATTCTTACATCATTTCCAGGTTTTATGTCACACACAGAAAAAACACCGCGTAATTTTTGTTTTTATTGTGCT